CTTAATAGCCTCTCTGTATTAAATTATTTTCTACCCAATCGTATAGTTATGGGCTCTGAGTAGATTTAATAACAGCTGATTAAGCAAAGAAATATATCCATTTAAAATACTAAAGTGCAAATTGCTCTTAAGACATTTTAAAAGGTGTTCTTAAAAAGTAAGAAAACTCAGAGCCCTCCCTGTTAGTAAAGTGGGTTAAAGCACAGCACTAAGAAGCTAAAGCCACTTCAGCATGAGTTTGATCCCCACCCCAGTGAGATCCACATGGCGCAGCAGACCTCTCCTGACCCGCCCACTGCTCCCCTCAACATTGTACTCCATCAGTCGGCCTGTTCTGCTCCCCATTCTGTCTCTGGTGAGTCTCTCACCACCTCTGCATCTCTGGCCTGTATCCTAGTTCTGTATACATAAATAAATAAAGCTTAAAAAAAAGGTAAGAAAAATCAAAACATAAAACATTTTCTATACCTCTCTTCTCTCAAGGAGATCTCAATATCCTTGCTTCCCTGAGTCTACTATACCATTTCACATATTCTCTCCATACTAAGTGAGCAAGTACTTTATGCCAGTCTTTTCCATTAATTCTGGACACAGAAATTAATATGACTTGATACTTCTTTGAATAAGCTCAAAAGCAGAGAAAATTACTACATTTAATTAATGATATGTAGCACATTCCAGGTGCTACTTGAAGTCAGGAACCAAGTATTGTAGAGACAAAAGGGTATTATATTAATGTTCTAGAGCAGGCAACACAGGTATCAGGGAAGATTTTTACAGAGAAGTCCTTACAACAAGGATAACGGTAGTTTCTTTAGGATAAGAAGGTAAAAGAAAGATAAACCATTCAGAGTGACTTTATGCTATTATAAAGCAAAACTCCAGCGTGGAAAAAATCGGGATGACATAAAAGTATGAGTTATTTGAAAAACTCTGAGTAGGTAAGTGTTATTGGAAGTGTTAAGATTTGTAGGAAAAGTAAAATTGGTCAAGATATTCAGCTAACTGATATTTATTGAGCACTTATTATAACCAAACAAATAACTAGGTGTAGGGAAGAAAGGAAGAAGGGGAAAAAAAACAGAAAATGACTTCCCAATGTTTATAATTTATATGAATATTTATGATAACTTTTCATATTCCAACCTTTTCTTTCATTGACTCAATTATCCTCCAACTTTTCTGGCCCTAACTTCCAATAACTGATTCAGCCTTATTTATAGTAGCATATATATATACACGCAAACATAAAACCTGTTACAGACTAACATAAGGCAGAGAAGCCAGCTCCTCCCAATAATTCTATCCCATGTGATAGAGCTAAACTGAACCTTTTTCAAGCTTCTGGGATATGAAAACAGCACAGCAGTTACCTTTCAAGACAAAAAGACTGTTGTCTTTTTAGCATGAAAGTACTGAGCTGTTGTCAGTAAGCCATCCTCTTCTAAGGTAGTGTCTTAAGTGTTAGAAAATAGTAGGAGAAGATGCAAAGAAGGATACGACTTGATCTCTGCATTATTCAGATTTTTTTCAGTACCAGGTTGCATATTTGAGCTATTAAAATGTAACTAAACTACACTGTTTCTTTAATAAGTTATTATTGCATATAAATGACAAAAGATGTCAGAAAACACATAAATGAGTTTATTTAGAGTTGGAAAAATAGAAGAAGAGTGATAATTATCCCCAATATTTATTCTCCATTTATATTTATTTCCTGGGTCATATAGTATTTTTTTTTCCTTCAAAAACAATTTCATGAAAACATGGGGGATTTAGAGGACAGAAAAGAACGATAATTAGCTAGCCTGTAAAACAACTAACATGAATGTATGAAAATATATTGTTGTTTGATAATTTTAGGTAAACACCACATATCTAAATGTGCCTGAAGTAATCTAGCACTTCAAGTGGCTAGCTTTTATGCCATGACACACCCAACCCAGGTGAGCATTAAATTAAAGGACAGCCAATAAAACTGTTTTTACTTCCTTGTTATTAATCATCTCCAGTTGAAGGGTCTGCTATTTCTCAACTACTATTGCCAAAAAGGTGTTTTTAAAGTGAATGTATTACTCAATTAAAGTACATGCCCATCCTTACATAAACCTCAGCATAATTGTAGTTTTGTATAATTAGAGTTTTTATGTCAAAAGATTTACAGCTTTATCACCTCAAGCAATATTTCACAGCTGCCAAGAGTGATTTATGCAATAATGACTTAAACTGTAAAATAGAATTCTCAAAGGAAGGACTGTCAAATATTCCTGCTGCAAATAACTCAGTTTTAAAAAATTGATATTCTGGTAAACAGCACATCCAATTGTACCTGGTAAAATCACACAAAGGAGCATGGTAGAAAGTGATGCTTTACCACGGTGATGATCCATCTCATCACTCACCGAATCAATGTGAACTCACCGCATAGGTCATGGATACTTATAAAGCCGGTGGGTCACTTTGAAAAAAACCAAGTTTTTGAAAATAATATTCTGCTTATAATTTTGCCAGTACAATAAAAGTGAGTGAAAAAAATGGTCATTAAATAGCTGAACTTTTTGCTAAATTTGTTCCTTGTGCTTACTACATCACTAACTCATTTTAAATAAAGGAAGCACTTACTATAAATACTTAAGAAACCAACAAAGTCTTAAATGAACTGAATTATGAAGGATTAAGGGAATTTTGAAAAATAAATCATGGACAATAATGGCAATTTTTATCTCTTCCTGCTTTCAAAAATGTAGAATGACTGGCAGGGCTCTAAGTGGCAAGGCATTCAAAGCATTTGAACTTCACAAGCTCTGACCGATTTTGCAGTTGTCATGTGAATAAAACCAACACACTTTGAAGATTCAATGCAAACTAGTATCTGAACTGATAGCCAAAACACAAGTTAATTACACTGAGAGCAAATAAGTATGTGTCTTCACAACCCAAAAAGGCCATTCAAATTAATCTTTTCCTTTGAAAGAAAAACTTAACCCATCACTTCTTTTCCCATGTAAATAAAAATTAAATAACAGCATTTCTCATGAACTCTAATGATACCCAGGTTGCTAAAGATTGAATTGAATCTAAAAATGAAGATAACAGAATCAAAATCATCATCAAAAGTTTTAAATAAAGGCTTAAATAAAGAGTCCATGTCTAAAACAGGGAGGTTTTAATTTGTCTAACAAGAAAATCATTCCGGGGATATGCATTAGCCAATATACTAAGAAACCTCACTGCAGAAATTTTACATTCATATCTGTGATGCCACATTAAATTGCTTTTAGGTGTTTAACATTATACAAGTTAAACTAGTTTTAAAACAACGACATTCCAATTAAACTGTTGTTAAAAATAAAAATTTCTGGAAAAGTTAGTTTCTAAGTGACCTGGGTAATCGAGATTAGTTTCATACTTAAATTCTAGATGTCAAAAAAGAATCTAAAAACATAATTGCCATTGTAGACCATTGTGACCTGAAGTAACCACAATACAAATTGTATCAACACCTTCATAAATGTTCAGGTGGGAAAAAAAATCAGACATTCATTATTCCAAAAGTCTAAGTTGTTTGCTTTAGATACACACGCACACAAGGATGAGCCGGATTTGAATAGTGAGAGTCTTAATCCAAGGTATGATTTTAAGATAACATAGCAAGTAGGCTAGTTCTAGTACGATAACACTACTGATGGAAAAGTGGGGGGAAACAAGAACTACAAACAGCAATCTCTATGTTGTTTGATAGTCATAGAGATGTTTTAATTCTAAATTAATCCAAAGTTATACAAACCTGCTTTACCAATAATACTTTATTACACACACCCACTCAAGTAGATATTAAGGGAAATCCAATTAAGAATTGTCTGTTCTCTATAAGGAAATATCTAATTATAAGAAAAGAAGATTTAAACCTTTTTATTTTTGGAGTATGTTCTCTGTATTTTACCAAATGGTGGATGATCACTGCTTGGCTAGGGACGTGCTACAGCATTCATTTACAAAAATGTTTAAGACCTATCTAAAAATCTGAACATATACTATCCACCCCGATTCACTGAGATTTCTGTCAATGTAATAAAAAAGTAAATGAATGATAATGCAATAGCTATACGACTAGTACAATGTGAATTTTAATTTACCTTTAAACCCAAAATTGTCAAATATCACTAAGTGTGCACACTTGAGATTACATACTTTCAAATGGGTACTTCTGAATATTCATACTGCTAAATTAATACACACAGATTGTGTATTTAACGAAATGTCTTCCATTAAATGTGCAATTTTTTAAGAACTATTACAGGTCTAACACATTTATGCCCCCGCAGCAAGCTTGAAAGAAGCAGGAGTGCCCTTGAAGTTAAGGTATGACCTTAAGTTCAATATGTCAGTTTTGCTGCAGATGTGAAATGAATATTAAAAATTCCATGGTATCCTACTTTTTCTCCATTTCTTATTTGAAAACAAGTCTTGAATACATGAATAATCTTGATTATTTGAATGTATGTAGGTTTACTAGATCAGTCTTAGAAGTTCCTATCTGTGATCCTTAATCTTATATAAAAAAGAGCAAAAGAAACAAGAGGTGTTGCCTATAAGAACTGAAGAGCCAAGAAACACTTACATGATTGTCAGTGTTGTACTCTTAGATATACAGTTTTCAACAGGATTATGTTTTGTGAAATATAATCAAGTTTGAATAAATAAAATTCCTTACTGCTTCTCCAGCAAGTAGCTATCAATACAACCAGTAAATTATGGTCTTTATATTATTCCTTAGAATACAAAGGAAGAAAGTAAAATTGATTTGTGGCATTTTTGTCCTCAATGACATTAAGGTATTGGACTTTTGAAGAGTATAAAGTGCACTTACTCGGAGAAGAAATTGTTCCTCTCATCCACTAACGAGAGTATTTCTAATTCTTGGATCCTAAAACACTATAAGCAAAGCATAGATCTACAACTGAATATCTGGTGCTTCTTTACATAGGAACTTTCAGTTGTCAATTTTTCATTTCAAAGGAATAAAATTCAAAAATCCTAAATAGATAGACTTTACCATTTTTGTGATAGTAGGTGACCTCCACTTTCCGCTCCTCTGATCCCAGCAAAGCCTGGGCAATTTGGGCAATATCATGCCTCTTGGTCTCAGGCCCATGAAGAAAGTCGCAGGTACATGGCTTTTGCATGACATCTGGTCTGGAGAAACCAGTCATCTCACAGAACCCATCATTGCAGTAGATGATGGCACAGTTTTGCACTCTCGCATTTGCAATGATAAATTTTTTATCTGTAATAAAGAAATAGCAAGGCGTGATTTAAAAGACTTCGGCAAGACTCTCATAAACATTGGAGCAATTTGTTGCATAATAGGAGAAATGCAGGTGTTTCCCAAATTGCTAACTGCCCAGCTTTAAAAGAAAAAAAAATAAATAAAACCTTAAATGTGATATAAATGGCTTCAAGTAATTTTCACAAAAAGTATTAAGGAGCTACTCTTCAAATTGCAAGAAAGTAATTTCCCAAATAGTCTAGTTCTCAAGTCTCAATCCCCCGGGGTTTTAAGGCATACCCAGACAAGCATCTGGTACAGTGATATATCCAGAATGCCATTTAATTGTAAGGTAAATATTTTCAAAGTCAAAATAGTGAAACATCCTGGAACTGTCAGTTTTTCTCACTTCAATGTTGTCACTTAGAATACAACTTTCTCCAAGTAGTCATTGTTATCAGATTTGATTTTTCTTTATCCCTATGAAGCATACTAAATACATCATGTTTAAAAAAATGAAACTATTTCACATTAACTAGCAGTTGAGTAATACAAAAGTTCACCTTTTCATAGTATTTCTTTTTCCAGGAAATAAAAATAGTTACACTCACAAATTAAACATCACATTAACACCTTTTCACTTTTACATTGAGAAAACCTTGATTTTTGTATGTATTTTATGAATTAATAAAAACATATTAATTTTGATTACAGGTTATATTTAGTATTTCCTTATAGAATGTGAAGCAGGATAGATAAGTCTATTTTGTACACAGGATAAGATATACTCATGTCACTAAAGCAGCATTAGAATAACAGCAAAATGCACAACATAAAGGTGTATCATGGATTCTGAAGGAAATACAAATTAACAAGTATGGGGTTTTAAATTATTATACTTTTCTATTTCATCCCCGATAGTCAGTCCACGTGAGATTATTAAATTTCTCTGCTTTTATTTAGTCTTTTGTTATTTATTTAATACACTTTTTTTTTTTTACTTCTGGATGGAAATTTAAGGGCATAATACAAGACAGAAACCTTCTTTTAAATAATGAACTGTTTGGGTTCAGAACCAACATGGATCAGCTATTGCTTTTCCCAAATAACCCTGCTTGTAATATATTTGCATTGATTCAAAGCAAAGTTTAGCTTCTATAAACTAACAGCAAGCAAGAATCCCTGTAATACTAGAGCCTTGCAATTTAACCAAAGTAAAATATAGTTTTGAATAGTTGTTTACATCACTGGTACCACTTAGGTTCTCTGGTTGCAAGAGTAAGCTATGCCCTGCTTCTGACTTTCAAAAAGTCCACAATAAACAGCCTCGAAATATAAGTCTATGTTATACTAGTACGTTCCCTTTAAGATAGTAGAAGAGTAGGTCGTTAACTATCAAGGCAGATAATGGAGCAGTGGGAGAGAGGATCAAATTGCCTCCTATAATGGAGACCATAATCTAAAATGTAAATCAAAATTAATATCAGAAGAACAACACTACCGGTGCCATTCGAACCTCCTGGCTCGGTTTCACAGCTAACTTGACAGAGCCCCGGAGTTGCAGTCTCCCCAGCCTGGAAGCGGCCGATGCCAAGTGCACTACCAAAGCAGAAAGCGAAGGAGAGAGAACAAATGAACTTACTTTGCCCTTCAAATTTCCGTATGATGGTCCCCAAAAATGTGTTTTGTGGTGCCACATGCCCCCTGCGAACAGGCATGTTGAACCTGGTGTTCCGAGTACCGCTACCCCGAGCTCTGGAGTTCTCCCGGGATCTCTCCTCGGCTAGAGCCCAGGCCAGCGCGCGAGCCGCTCTTTGTGGCAGAGCATCCTCTTTAGAAACCAGAAATCTCTTCCCATTAGCACCACTTCCAGACACCCGCTTTCCCCACCGGAGTCCAATCCATTCCCCTCACCTTCCGGAGGGGGCCTTGCACCGGACTGCCTGCCGCGGGTGAGAGGGTTTGGGGGTGGGGAGAGGGAAGGAGGCGGGGTGAGTGGAGGTGGCGGGGGAGGGAAAAGGGAAGGAGCGGAGGGGGTGGGGTGGGGAGGGGGGCGGGGAGTCACAAGGGCAATCGATCTGTTTCCTTTCTCCCAAACAGCGCCAATTTCCTAGTGCAAATGGGCTTAACCTGACGGTTACCCAGAACTATGAGGACGGCGACTGGGGGGTGGAAGGGGGGGCGGGATAGAAGACTTGTTCAGTTTTTTGAAGGAAGGGAAAAAGAAAAGGAGGCCTGGGGGGCGGGGGTTGACGTTTGTCTCTCCGCCCTCTCCCCCTACACACACACACTCACACACACACACACACACACACACACACACACCACCACCACACCACACCACACCACACACACACCCTTTATCCAGAGAGCTTGGGCGCCACCACAGCTCGGATTACTCAAGCGTGCTTTGGCGGAAGCCAGCCAAAAAATCTCCAAAACTCAGTGACAAACAGCTACTCTGGAAAGGTGATCTCCATGGCCACCAGCCACAGTACTCCATCCCTAAGCCGCTCACGCCGCAGAAGCTAAAACACACTTAGCTGCAAAAAAAAAAAAAAAAAAAAAAAAGAAAGAAAGAAAGAGAGAGAGAAAGCGCGAGAGAGAGGTGGGAAAGCATTCCCTCAATGAGGAATATTTCTGAACTCTGGTGATGTTTGAACTCTGGTGATGTTCATAAGGTTGAAGATTAAGGGTGTGCAAGCTTGGTCTCAGGGTGCAGCTCGGATTCTTGGGTTGGACGAAGGTGGGTGTTAAAGCCCAAGCTGAATTGGCACTCTTATCACTACCAAGCTCAGAGCCGCGCCTCCCAAAGACTGAAGGCTGCCGGCGCCGCTGAGCGTGCCCAGTTTTATGGTTTGAACCCTTGAGGAGTTGCAGGGTTGGGGTGGAGCGGGGCGATTAGGTCTCCAGGTGCTGGAGGCTAAGAAAAGATCAGAAGGTCAAACATTACAGGAGGAACTGATAGATACAAAACGAGAATGAGTTAAAAATGGGCGAGGCTGGGCTAGAGGTTTGGAGGTAGGAAGACAAAAGGTGGGTGGGGCTAAGGGTTGCCAATTTGGAGTGACCTCCCATTGCCTCTCACCTCTTTGAACAAACACCACTCTGCTCTCTCCCACCATTTCTAAGGAATCGTCTCGTTTAGGATAGGAAAGAGTTCAAGAAGTCGAATAAAATCCAATTCCATCTTATTACTCAGAACCTGCCACATGGGAATCAAATGGTATACATAACACTTCTGCCCAAATAGTCCTCCTGGAGACTTAGGAAATCAATGTGACAAACCATGTCAGAAAAGGGTGTTTCTGAGTTATCATTCTAGATATTCATGCTTATTTTCATTTATGTTATCTCCTCTTTTAACTTAGCGCCTCTCCTCTTCCCATTCTCTAGATGAATTTTTCACTACTACAACTTACAGAAAATAGAACACAGACACATTTCCTCCTTCCAGTTATCTGTAAGGGTCCAGGCCCTTATCAAAACATGCCGTTGCATGGTACAGTTTTTGGGGCTCTTGAAAAAGATTAGTCTGCATTGTCTGTTACTGAGTCAGCTGGCATATCATATTTCCAGGCACAGTCTTAAATCTGAAGTGTAAAACAATATGAGGGTGGAATTAAGAATGAAAGATAGGATTAGATTTGGAAAGTGAATCATGAATTGCAATAAATAACAAGGATATGAACATAGTAACTTTTGTTTTACATTCCAGAAAATACCCTCCAAAAAGTCTACATAAAAAGAAGAACCTGGATAATTGCAGTCTTTCTTATCAGAGTAATGTGAATGAAATGGAAATGTTGAATTTTCCAGTTATTAGCTTTGTTTAAAAAAAAACAAAACAATCTATGACGAACCTTAGCTTTTAGGGTAGCTTGGGTTTTCCTCAATCTGTACAGTTCCCTTCCTTGGAGTGAAGAAAGGCACTCATCTCCAACGTACAGTTTTAATCTCTCCCTTTACTGTGTAAATAGTCTATCGTTCTGTTCACTAACTGCAGCTGGGCTTGTAAAACAGGAGTTCCTTTCCTAGATGCTGAACATGCGGAGCTAACCATGGTGCTGACTCGGATCTGCAGTTAGCAATTGTTCTCTATATTCTGCCACAGACAATAGAACTGCAGACTCAGGCAAGTTGTCCTGATATGTTCACATATATAAGTTGTCTTCACTGGATAGCCACAGAAAACAGAGTTACTTTAATTCCATGTATAAAACAACTTATTTTTCTATTTCACTTCTTAGTTAAATCCAAGCTCAAATGTATTCCTTACAAAATGCATCAAAAAGTCGAGATAAAAAGCTGAATAAACTATATATGTGAAATGTAAGTAAGAGTTAAAGTAGTCCATAAAGGCAAAATAGCATAACATTAAAAATAGAAAGAGGTAACATGTGTAACCTTGACATATGTGATTAAATCTCTTTTTAAATAACATGTAAACCCAGTAAATGTGTATTGCTTCAGAGGAAGTAGACACTAACACATTTTGAAAACTATTTTTTTGCCTTACGACAAGATGTATTAACACAGAGAAGGTAGCAGTGCATATTTCGTAAGAGTCAAGTAATAACTTTCATACACTATTGAGTATGAAAACCCTAGAATTCTACTTTAATGGTTAAAAAAATGGCTTCCTCAAGATGAAAAAATGGCTTTTGAACCCTAGTTTATTCACTCTTTGTCTACAATCTTAGAGTAATCTCTGTTTATTTGTCCTGGCTAATTAAACACAAGATGCTTAAAGTTCTATTTTTCTTTGTTTATATGAGCAATCTCTGTGGGCTTCACATTTTTCCCAACCTAATGTAGCTCTAATATTAGTTCCATTAAGGATTCAGTGTAAGTTCATAGGACATTTTATAATCTATGTATTGTAATTGATTGATCTGAGCAGAAGATTAAAGGCATCCTGTTTCTAAATTACCCCAGTAATCGTGTTCATGCATTATACATTGGTACAGTGAAGACAAGTACATCAATCTATATTCAGCCAATAATAGAATCAAGCCAGAGGATGGTAATCATAGTTGCTTGCTTGCTGAAAAATTACCCCTCCCTTCACCTCCACCCTTTATAAAAGTGAACTTTAGATTGCTTGTTGAAGCCAATTTTCATAATTTTTTAGTACTGGAGAACATTTATTTATTCATTTATTTACTATTTTGGTGGGGGAGTCCAAATAATGGACAAAATACTTAAGTTCAGCAATTGAAGTTTAATCAAGTACACAGTTGAACACTCATCACAACCTACTTATGGACAAGGACCTTTTCTTAAAATTACTTAGTTTACTATAGCTATTTTAAGACATCTACATTAATACTCGAATCTTTAAGGAAATAAGACCAATAAGGATAAATTTAAGTAGCATCCCTACCTTGACAATGAATAAAAATTTCTTGAGATCAAGTAGGTCATACAATGTGTCACATTTTTGCAAAAGCATATATTAAAAAGAAAGAAAGAAAATGAAAGGTGAATATTCCTCAATGTGTCAAGTTTAGTTTAATGATGTCATGACTAAAATGCTTTATATAAAAGCTATGTTAATGTGGTCTTCTATGGAGATGGTATTTTCTAAGTAACTAGGTCATATTTATCTGAAGAAACATCTGACTTCACAGTTACAACTTAGGCAGATTTAGCTTTATTACATGGGTTCCAGAACATCATGGGGTAGAAAGTTGAAATAAAATAATACAAAAATAATTCTGTGGAACATGCAATAGTGAAAAGGGCCAGGAAAAAAAAAAAAAAAACTAGGTTCTAACAAGTTTTGTAAAGAAGTTTCCATTTGTAACAAAACTTAAGAAGAATAGTTAAGTGTTCTGTTCATAGTTTCATTCCTAAAATAAATGTAATCTTCATTTTTTGGTTTCGTGGAAAAAAATAGTGAAGACCTCTGGATAACTACAATACAGGAAAAGTTATATAAAAGAGCTTACAAATATAAAGTGTTCTTTTTGATAAAGACATTTGAGATTTTTAACATACATTATCAAGTCTCTATATTTGGTAGTTGTGTTTTACTTTCTCACTATCTTGCATAACCAGTCCAATCGTTTGGTATAATGACTATGGGTATGATTCATCTATCCATTCCATACCTTACTCCACATGCCCCCAATACACTTATACCACTAATACATTCTTAATCTAAATTAGTGAAGTTTTACATATTAATGTACTATTGCTAATTTGCTAATTTAAAAAATGGGAAAGCTATGATTTGTTCTAAGCATTTTATCTTAAAAATTTATCATGGAGGCCCTCCCTGATGGCACAGCGGGTTAAAGGACTGCACTGAGAAGCTTAAGCCACTTCTGCATGAGTTCGATCCCTGCCTGCCCCGAGGAGATCCACATCACATGGTGAGGCAGACCTCTCCTAACCCGCCCACTGCTCCCCTCAGCAGTGTACTTCGTCGATCTGCCTTTTCTGCTCCCCACTCTGTCCCTGGTGAATCCTCTCACCCTCCGCATCTCCGGCCTGTACCCCAGTTCTTTCTGAATATAAATAAATAAATAAATAAATAAATGAATAAAGTATTGGAATATATTTCTGAAAACTATTTTAAAAATATTATTATGGAAAAGAAATAAAACATACAAACAGAAAAAAATCAAACCAAATCATCAAAAAGTCATCAAATTATTCAACTATTTTATGAATTTACTCTATTTGCTTTAGCTACTTTCTCTCCTATTCTTTGCAGTATTTCAAAACAAATCTTATAATACATCATTTTACCAAAAATATGTTTAAAGAGTCCATTTAGGTTTAACTGACAAACAATATGTCTCTACCATGAATATAAATAATCAAAACAAACAAACCAATAAGATACAATATAAACATCTCATAGACCTTGTGAAGCAATGGTTATTACCAGAGTGGAAGCAGAAT